TGCCTGACTGAACTGAAATCCTCGCGTCCTCCTGCCAACGTGCGCATGTTGATCTTATTCTGTGCCGTTAGGCAGGCGCCTTCCTCTAACAATCGTGTCTGGACGTTCTCCGGCAGAATCAACTGATGACGCTCAGCCTCGGCTATCTCAGCGTCTCTTCGCAAGACATAGTCCGTGAGACTCTCTCCCTTCTTGATCATGTAGTTGAAGAGTGCCGCGTTGCGAGCCAAGTTCTCTCTCGATCGCCCTGTCTTTCGCCGTTCAGGACCGAGAGGTGCGACAGAATCTTCTCCACAACGTCGTCGCTCTCAGGCTCGTGGTGGAGTAGCTTGAACTTCACCTGCAAGTCTACGGGCAAGCCCTCCAGCACTCTGTTCGCCTGAGCGTGCGCCTTGAAGCCCGTCCTCTTTGTCCACGCCTTAAGATTGTGTCGATAAGTATCGAGATGGTCGAACCCGAGCCAAGGCGGTGGAGCGCCGAAATCACGATTCTGAACGAACTCGCTAGAGGCATGCGAGCTCCTGGCGCGTGACTCTCTCCAGCCGCCCCACAAACCCCAGTCCCAGGAATCCCAGCCCCACGACGCCCATGGCCGCCACTGCGGGTCCTGCCTGTGATCAGCTTCCCCGGCGGCGTCGTCGTTGCCGTTGCCCCTCCGAGGAGGGGTCACCTCTTGCCAGCCCGTCTCATGCTGATGGCGTGCTGTCTCCTCCGCTGGCGCCTCGCTGCTTCGCGGAGCGCCCGTCCCGTCGCCCGAGACTCCCATCACCTCTTCCAAGTTCTCCGACATACGCTCCGCTTACCACTGTCACAGCACGAGGGGACACATGGATCTGGAGGGTCGAAAGACTAGGAGAGGGCGATCTTCTCTCGAGCGGTCGGGGGGCGCTCCAACTAGAATGCACTCGCGCCTAAGCCAACAGGCTACGGAAGAAGAGCCAAAGGGGGAGACGGGAGGACACGACCCGGGGCCCACTAGGACCCAAGGGAAACAGACCTTGCCGCTGGCGCACCCCGCCCGAAACCACGATACATGGGAGGACCCCTTACACAATGAAGACAGCGCCAAAAGCAGGAAAGCGAACCTTTGACCTGGGACCCAAGGTGCGGCCACAAAAGATACGCCAGACGCGGGGACGCCAGGCACCCACCTGCAGAGCGGTACGCCACAAACGTAGGGCGAAACAAACGAAAAAAGAGAAAACGAACTTTGCCCTCCCCCCTAACCCCCCCTCCGCTTTGCCTTCTCCACAGAAGCAGGCGAAGTCCGCGCGTCAGTGGGGATCACGCCGACGCCTGGCACCCAATCGCTGCAGCGCTGCTGCCCCTCACGTTGCCGCGCCGGCATTAGCCTTGCTAGTAATAAAACTCGCGTCCAGACCAGGAGGCAGGACGGCAAGCCTGAGCCCACCCGCCGAGGAGCGCCGCGCGCCCGCCAAAAGCAAATGGGCGCACAGAGCAGGAGTCCCCACCAAAGCGGGAACTTGGACAACCGCGGCAAAAAAAAAATGAACAACAAAACAAACGATAAAAAACGCCAGTCCCCGCCGCAGGGGGCTTACAAGCCTGTACCCGCCAAGAGAGGAAGGGATGTGACGAAGTGGATGGAAGCGGCGCGTGCGAACCCTGCCAACAGAGCCATCGGCACAGTGCCCTACCGTGTGGGGGAGGAAAAAAAAGCATTGGACAAAAAAAAAAAAAACAACAAACACACACAAACAAACAAACAAACAAACAAACAAACAAACAAACAAACAAACAAACAAACAAAAAACGAAAAACCCAACCATGCGCAAATGTGCATACCGCGTCGTGGGTACCGGTTTCGGTGGAGCTCCCTATGGGGCCCCGAACCGTGTGAGGGGTGTGCCGAAAGGAGGCGGCGGTGCCGCCATGCGAATTTTACCACTGGGGCCTTCGGTGGAGGGCCACGAAACGTGTGAGGGGTGTTCCCAGATGGGGCGGCGGTGCCATGCGGACCATTCCACAGAAGCCTTCGGTGGAGCTCCGTATGGGGCCACGAAACGTGTGAGGGGTGTGCCGAATTGGGGCGGCGGTGCCATGCGGACCCTCCCGCTGGGGCCTTCGGTGGAGCTCCCTATGGGGCCACGAAACGTGTGAGGGGTGTGCCGAAATGGGACGGCGGGGGCATGCGGACCCTCCCGCTGGGGCCTTCGGTGGAGCTCCCTATGAGGCAGCGAAACGTGCGAAGGGGAGTGACGACAGGAGGCGGCGGTGCCATGCGGATCCTCCCACCGGGACCTTCGGTGGAGCTCCCTACGGGGCCACGAAACGTGTGAGGGGTGTGCCGAAGTGAAACGACGGTGCCATGCGGACCCTCCCGCTGGGGCCTTCGGTGGAGCTCCCTATGGGGCCAGCGTGCCGACATGGGGCGGCGGTGCCAGGCGGACCCTCCCACCGGGGCCTTCGGTGGAGCTCCCTATGGGGCCACGAAACGTGCGAGGGGAGTGCCGACAGGAGGCGGCGGTGCCATGCGGACCCTTCCGCCAGGGCCTACGGTGGAGCTCCCTATAATTGGGGCGATGCGGACCCTCCCGCTGGGGCCTTCGGTGGAGCTCCCAATGGGGCCACGAAACGTGTGAGGGGTGTGCAATGCGGACCCTTCCATGGAAGACTTCGGTGGAGCTCCCTATGGGGCCACGAAACGTGTAAGGGGTGCGCCGACATGGGGCGGCGGTGCCATGCGGGCCCTCCCGCTGGGGCCTTCGGTGGAGCTCCATATGGGGCCACGAAACGTGAGAGGGGAGTGTCAGCATGGAGCGGCGGTGTCATGCAGACCCTCCCACCGGGGCCTTCGGTGTAGCTCCCTATGAAGCCACGACACGTGTGGGAGGTGTGCTTTGCCGCTGCGGCCTTCGGTGGGGCCGCCTTATGGGGCCACGGAACGTGCGACGGGTGCGCCGAAATGGGGCGGGGCCGCCATGCGAACTTCGCCAATGGGGCCTTCGGTGGAGCTCCCTAAAGCGGCGGTGCCATGCGAACCCTTCCACTGGGGCCTTCGTCGGAGCTCCCTATGGGGTCACGAAACGTGTGAATGGTGCGCCGAAATGGGGCGGGGCCGCCATGCGAACTTTGCCACTGGGACCTTCGGTTGAGCTCCCTATGGGGCAGCGAAACGTGTGAGGGGTGGGCCGAATTAGGGCGGGGCCGCCATTGCCATTGGCGCCTTCGGTGGGGCTCCCTATGGGGCCACGAAACGTGTGAGGGGCGTGCCGAAATAGGGCGCGGCCGCCATGCCAACTTTGCCACTGGGGCCTCTGGCGGAACTCCTTATGGGGCCACGAAAAGTGTGAGGGGTGCGCCGAAATGGGGCGGGGCCGCCATGCGAACTTTGCCACTGGTGCCTTCGGTGGAGCTCCCTATGGGGCAGCGAAACGTGTGAGGGGTGGGCCGAATTAGGGCGGGGCCGTCATGCGACCTTTGCCACTGGGGCCTTCGGTGGGGTTCGCCATGGGGCCACAAAGCTGTGAGGGGTGCGCCGAAATGGGGCGGGGCCGCCATGCGAACTTTGCCACTGGGGCCTTCGGTGGAGCTCCCTATGGGGCCACGAAACGTGTGAGGGGTGCGCCGAAATGAGGCGGTGCCGCCATGCCAACTTTGCCACTGGGGCCTTCGGTTGGGCTCCCTATGGGGCCACGAAACGTGGGAGGGGAGTGCCGAAATGGGGCGGGGCCGCCATGCGAACTTTGCCACTGGGGCCCCAGGTGGGATTCCCTGTGGGGCCACGAAACGTGTGAGGGGTGCGCCGAAATGGGGCGGGGCCGCCATGCGAACTTTGCCACTGGGGCCTTCGGCGGAGCTCCCTATGGGGTCACGAAACGTGTGACGGGTGCGACGAAAAGAAGCGGCGGTGCCATGCGAACCCTTCCATTGGGGCCTTCGATGGAGTTCCCTATGGGGCAGCGAAACGTGTGAGGGGAGTGCCGAAATGGGGCGGGGCCGCCATGCGAACTTTGCCACTGGGGCCTTCGGTTAAGTTCCCCATGGGGGCACGAAACGTGTGAGGGGTTCGCCGAATTGGTGGGCACGCGGAGGACAGAGGCACGACGCTGACGATGGCGATGTTGATGGCGCCGATGATGGCGATGGTGCCCACGATGCTGGCGATGGTGGTGATGATGATGATGATGATGACGTAACGATGACGATGGTGATGGTGCGAGGGGGAGGGATTGGTCAGCGGGAGGAGCAGGGAGACGCGGGGCGCTGTCTCTTCAAAACGAGGGCCCAGCACCACAGGATGGTTGGGAAAAACGGATGTTGCGAAAACATATGTGTTTATATGGTTTCGGGGCACTCGGTTCGAAATCCTTGCGGAACCCAGGGCAGTGAAGGCGTTCGGCATGCGCGCGCGACGACGCGCGCGCGCGCACTTCGTCCCAGCTGTTGCGAGGGATTCTCGCGGCAGCACGCGCGAAAGGGCGCTCGAACGACTTCGACACGCGCGTGCGCGAAGCCCGTTCGGTAGCATGTTGTGAGAATGTTGAAAAACTTCTGATTATCTAAAGACGTCGCAAGAAAGCGCGCGCATGTGGTGCAATCTACGCGGTGCAATCAATCACTTGCTCAACTTGAAACTGTCCTCTCCGCTGCTCGTGCAAACATCCCACCCTCCCACCCGCAACTTGGTCGTAAGACCTCTTAAGACCGTGACGGTAGGTACCAAATGGCACTTGGCAGCGACGACGGCAGCGACAACGACGACGACGACGACGACGACGACGACGACGACGCCGCCGCCGCCAACGACTACGACGACACCGATGGCGTCTCCAACGACTTTGACGACGACGACAACGACGACGACGACGACGACGACGACGATCCGTAGCCATGTTGGCTCAAGGCCATGGCGATCCCGACGACCGCGAGTCCTTCGGGCGCCGTCGAGCGCGAGGGGCGCCGCGCTCTGGGCCAGCTTCTTGCTTCGTTTTTTTTCGAGGCGGCGCGGGCAGGCGGAGCGCGCGGGGCCAGCAGCCATGTCGGGCGACGGAACTGGAGCGCCGCCACCCTGGAGGCGCAGGGTGTACTGCGTCTGCCAGTGCAAGGAGTGGAACTGGTGCGACAAGAGGGCGACCTGCAAGTCTTGCGGGAAGGAGGCGCCAGCGTGGGCGAAGCGCCTGCGCGTGGCGCACCAGCCCCAGGCCGACGGGGAGGGATTCGTCCAGCAGCCCAGGGGGCGCTCGCACCAGCGTGCATCGCGCCGAGCTGGTGAGGCCTCCAGGGCAGCCTCGGCCGCCAGCACCGTGCCGAGCAGCGCGCCCAACAGCAGGGTGCGGCCGAGGGGCGGAGCCAAGCCGCCGCCGCGGCGCGAGGGGCGCGAGGAGCAACCAGAGGAGCAGGGAGCCCAGGCTCGCGTCTCCAGCCTCCGCGAGGCGGTCGCCATGGATGGGACCAGCGAGTCCTTCCAGCGAGAGGCCAGGGCGGCCCTCCTCGCAGCGGAGGACTCAGCCGAGAGGGCCGAGGCCGAGCTCCGCGAGGCCCAGCGGCTCGGGAGGCCCCCCCACACCGTCCTCCACGGAGGCGCCAACGCCATGCAGAAGGTCGAGAAGCAGATCATTGCAACCAGAGCCTAGCGCGAGCAGGCCGCACAGCGGGCTGAGGCCCTCAGCGGGGAGATTGCGGCGATACAAGAAGAGCTGGCCGAGGCCGAGTCCGCGGTCGAGGACTTCGACAGCCAGCTCGGCAAGCTCGAGGAGTCGAAGGCTCAGACAGTCCAGCAGGCACTCCAGCGGGCCATTGAGGTGTGCGGAGGCCAGCGGCCCCTGGAGACCGCGGTCGGGGGCCTCGTCACCCAGGTCAACCAATTGGGCGAGATGCTCGGCCGTAACTCGGATGGCGTCGCGCCCAGACTCCTGGAGATCATGGACATCATCACCACGCAGAGCGCCGCCATCTCGGACATGCTCCACCCCGCTGCGCCTGCTGCCGCTGCCTCGCGCTGGGCCGACGGCCTTGGCGGGGACGGGCTCGCCGTCGACGACGAGGAAGGCTTCCCCGCCCCTGCCCCCGCGGAGCCGCGGCCGCCTGCGGAGGCCGCAGTTCAGCAGGTGCGGCCAGGCCCGCCCACCCAGCGGGCGAGCCCCGCAGTGGGGCCCTACGGGCCAGCCGCCGCCCGCGGGCAGTCAGGCGCGGCGCTCGGCGCTTGGCCCCAGCCTGGCCAGGCCGAGCACAGGATCCTTGAGGATGCCAAGGACGAGCACGAGGACGGCCAGGCCTTGGCCATGCTGGGGGCTACGCTCCTATGGGCCCTCGTCGCTCCTAGCCGCTCGGCTGCAGCGACAGCCTGGGGACCCGTGCCGCCGCCGCCGCCGTCTGACTGGCCGACCTTGCACCAGGCGCGAGGAGGGCCCCGGCGGCAAGGCGGCCTCGCTCCTGGGCCGAGGTGCGGTCGGGGCCGCCGAGGCGTCCCCCCGACGGCCTCGTGCGGGCAGACGGCGGGGGGATTCTGCCCTCCGACGTCGCAGCCGTCTGCCCCGCCCCATGGGAGTCGAGGGGCCTCCGCGGGGTTCACGCCAGCCGCCCTTGAGGCGAGAGTGGGCGGGGCTGTGCCGGCTTGTGAGATGGCCGCCGCGCAGCTCCGTGCAGGCTTCGACGTGCTGGGCCTCAACGGCAACACATGGGACCGTGCCATGGAGGTGCTCGGGGCCTACATCACGCGGGAGGGCGCGCGCCCGCACCTGGTCACGGTTCAGGAGGTCCGCCTTGGGCCCCGCCAGCTGGAGAATGCTCGCCGCCGAGCCCGCGGCCTGGGCTACGCGGCCTTCTTGCATGCTGCTGCGCCCACTGGACAGGCTGCCCTTGCCCATTCAGGAGGCGTCGGAGTGCTTGTCCGCGAGGACCCTCAGGCGCGGGAGGCTCAGTGGCGAGTGCCAGGGGACTTCAAGCACCGCATGATCGCCGTCAGGGTGGCCGCTGCCTCGGGCATGAAGCTGATGGCTTGCTCCTTGTACCTGCAGGATGGCCTCGGGCCCAAGGGTGTCAACTTGGACATCATCGGAGCCCTGGGGGACCTGGTGCTGACCGAGGGGCTGCCTTGGCTCGTGCAAGGCGACTTCAACATGGAGCCTGGGACCCTCCACGAGTTAGGGTGGCCAGCCCTTCAGCGAGGTGCCTACCTTGGGCCAGCCGAGCCCACGTGCATGGCCTCGGGCACGGAGCGGGTGTACGACTGGTTCGCGAGCTCGTTCTGCCTCTCCCACGGGGTCGCCAACGCCGCCGCCCTGGACGGCTACGCGTTGCACCCGCACAAGCCAGTCCGACTGCGGCTGCAGGACCTGCGGCCAGATGCGCTGGTGAAAGTCCTGGCGAGGCCTGGCCGCTTCCCAGACGTGGAGGCCGCCGACTGCAGGGCCCATGAGGACGCCGTCGTGCAGGTGTTTCGGCGCAGTGGGCGAGCTCAGTGGCAGGCCGAGGCTTGCAGCTGGAGCTGGGAGGCAGGCGCGGTGCCCCACGACCTGCCTGCTGCAGCGTGTGAGTGGATGGAGGCGGTCGAGGGCACGTTGGTGGGCATCCACGACATCCAGCCCGCCGCTTACAGGCGCTTCCTGGGCCGAGCCGCGGGGCCGAGGCGCGCCCTGAAGCCGATGAGCGCGGTCGCGAAGCGAGAGTACCGCTTCCGTCACTCCGAGTTGACCCACGCCATTCGGCAGGCCCTCGACCTGGCTCTGCAGAGGCTGGCCGCTGATCGGAGTGAGAGGTGGCGGCCGTCGCACGACGGCTGGTACTTGCGCGAGGCGGAGCGCATCACGGGCCTCCTTGGGCTCGCCACGGCCGCGGCCCGCGAGGAGGAGGAGGCGGAGCAGCTCGCCTTCGACACCAGCGGGTCGAGCGACCTCGTCGGCCAGGCAGGAGTCCACGGCCACGTCGGCGCCATCACGGAGCTCCAGCGACGGCTCTACAGCTCGCAGCGGCGCGACGGAGTTAACAGCTCCGCGCGGTGGCGCGCTTGGGCCAAGGAGGCCGTCCAGCGAGGAGGCAGGCTGGCGCGCCGCGTTGCCAGAGCGGTGCCGCATCCCCAGGTCGTCGATCCTGACACGGGCATGCCGCTGGCAGGTATGATAGCCACTGGGCAGCTGGAGGCCGACTGGCAAGCCCTCCGGCAGCAGGAAGGCTTCAAGCGAGGAGCCGACGTCGGCACCTGGGACGTCCAGGACTGGACCCTGCCTCCCATCACGCTCGACATGTTCCAGGCGACGCGCCGCCGCTACGCGCCCTCTGCAGGGCTTGGAGCAGACCAACTACACCCTAGACAGCTGCTGCTCCTGCCGCGTGCCCTCCAGCTCCGCTGCCTGGACCTCCTCGCGGCGCATGAGGAGCGGCCGCAGGCGCTGGGGGCCTTCGCGACGATGATCGCGTTCATCCCGAAGCTGGATGGGGGCATCCGCCCCATTGCCCTCATTCCGCCTCTTCTTCGGGTGTGGAGCCGTGTTCGGCAACCTATGTGTGCGCAGTGGGAGCCCACCCACAACTTCCAGTTCTTCTGGGGCAGGGAGGGCAAGGGCTGCGAGAAGGCGGGTTGGATGCACAACCTTCTTGCCTCGGCTGCCCGCCATGCCGGCTTGGAGGCTGGCAGCCTCTTCCTGGACATTGTGAAGTTCTACGAGAATATTCGGCATGACGTGCTCTGGAACTGCGCCATCGAGCACAATTTCAATCTTCGGTTATTGAGGGGGCTTTTGGCCTTGTATCAAGCCCCTCGCTTCGTTTGTTTCGCGGGCCTGGTCCCTGGCGACTTCAGCTCGCAAGGCACCGTCCTCTCGGGCTGTGCGCGTGCGACTACGCTGGCCAAGCTGCCGCCCCTCGGACCCCTTCGCGCCGCGTCTTCAGGAGGCCGCCTGCCCGTCATTGGCAGGAACGTCGTCGACGATGTGGCCCTTCAAGCACTGGGAACTCGTCGCCTTGTCGTGGAGCAACTTGGCGGCGCGGGAGCGGAGATGGCGCGGCAGCTCGGGGACTTGCACCTCCCGCTCAGCGCCAAGAAGTCCGTGTACCTCGCGCCCTGCTCTGGCCTGGCCCAGGAGCTGGGCGAGCACTGGAAGGCGCACGGCATGAAGTTCGAGAGGGCTCACCAAGCCCGCAACTTGGGCACGGACGCGAGCATCACGATGAGAGGAGTCCGCGAAGGGCGAGGGCGGGCGCGGGACGCGCTTCAGCGTGCGCGGCGCCTGCGATGCCTTCGAGCGGCAGGAGTCGAGGTGGACCTGATCCACAAGGCTGGGCCTACTTCCAGTATGGCATGGGGACGGACGGTTACTGGCGTGGCCGACGGAGAGTTGCACAGTTGGCGAGTCACCGCGTGCCGCAGCGCTGGGCGGCCCCCCCGCGGCGCGGCCCTCGGCCTCAGGCTGCGGCGCGCGGAGCTCCGCAGAGGCCGCGACCTGGATCCGCTCGTGCTGATCGCGGATCGCTCGCTCCAGATGCTGGCAGGGCTTTTGCACTCGGGCGAGCTCTCCCTGCCGATGCTCAGGGGCGAGCTCGAGGCTGCAGCTTCGCGGCAGGCGGCGGCAAAGGCGCCCTGGGTGCACTGCAACTCCCCCGTGGATGCAGCTGTCCTCGCCCTGGGCAGGATCGGCTGGCACTTCAGGTCCGAGCGGTGCCTCATCACGGACGCCGGGGACGCGCTGGACTCGACGCTGCCGGGGCCGCGCGAGCTCGGCATTGAAGCCGGCCTCGGGGCGAGGCGCGCCTCGGATCGACACGAGACGCAGAAGCTGGCCAGCTCCTCTTCTCTGCAGGGTTCTTTCTTCTGGGACGCCTTCAAGGAGCTCATCGGGCCAGGAGGCAAGTTCAGCGAGCGCGAGAGGAACGGGCTGGTCGCCTACCTCACGAACGCGCACTGGCCGCAGGCGAGGCTCCACGGCGCCCGCGAAAGCGGCCACGCCCGCTGCAGATGCTGCGGAGCCGCGCGGGGCACCCTCTGGCACAGATTGTTCGAGTGCCCCATGCTTGCGGCCCAGCGGAGGGACTCGGTCTCGCCAGCGCTGGCGAGGAGCGCTGTGCGGGTCCGCGCCCAGGGAGAGGCAGCAGGGGAGGACTTCGCTCGGTGCTGGCTGCCAGCGCCGCCGCCACCTCAAGGGCCTCGCACGGACGCCATGAGCGTCTGGTGGATACGCAGGCCTCCCGACGACAAGCTCAATGGCAAGGTGTACTTGGACGGCTCGGCGGTCGACCCGCAGTTCGGCTCCCTGAGGCGCGCGGGCTGGGCGATTGCTCAATGCGACGACGACGGCAACCTCATCGCGGGCGTCTACGGGACCGTCAGGAGGGACCTCTGCCCACAGCAAACCGCTCGTGACGGTGAGGACTTCGCGGCCTGGATGATGGTGAACTACGCGGGCCCTGCAGTCGAGGAGGTTAACATCGACTGCCACGGCACGGTCGAGTGCTTGCGTAAGGGGCTGGCCTATGCGACGGGCCCGACCAAGGCCAACGCCCACCTCTGGAGCAGGAGCCTCGCCGCCTTCGAGCCTGGCAGCTTCAGGGTGAACAAGGTGCCAGCCCACTGCAGCAGGCAGGCGGTGCTCGACGGGCGCCTCACGGAGGCGCAGAGGCGCGGCAACCTGCACGACGACCGCCTCGCCAAGCTGGGAGCACGGCTGCACGCCGTGGACGCCCAGACCGCGGGCGAGCACCGCGCCTTGGCGGGATTCGTCCAGGAGCTGGCCCGCTGGGTGGGCCAGGCGGCGGTCCTCTGGCAGAACATCGCGGAGAAGGACAGTGACAGCTTCCTCGAGTCCGACGAGAGGCAGCGGGCGAGGTTCGCCGACCAGGAGGAGCGGGCCGAGCTGCCCACTGCAGGCAGGCCGACGGCGCAGCAGCCGCGAGTGGAGAGCGTCCGCTCGGTGGCCAGCGCGGTTGGCCTCTCCATCACCACGGCTGGCATCTGCTACCTCGGCCACTCCCTGTCGTACGCGTGCTGCGACGTGGGCGAGGAGTCCCAGGAGCTGGTGGCGTGCGGCAAATGCGGCGCCTACATGGTCCTTGGTGGCCGCTCTGGAGGCCGCCCAAAGCTCAAGGAGCCGTGCATCGGCGAGAGGGCCACTGGGCAGCGCAGCCAGCGCCGCCTCTGGGCTCGAGGGCTACACCCAGGTGGACGACCACGCGGAGGAGACCAGCAGCGCAGGGAGAAAGGGGTTGAAATCCCCGCGCTAAGGCTGCAGGGGCCACTGCCCCCAGCGGCCCAAGAGGCCTTCCTGGCTTGGCTGGGCCTCGAGGGCGAGGAGGCTCCCTCGGCAGCAGGTGGCAGCTCAGCAGCAGCGACGGGAGGAGCAGGCGGCTGCGAGCAGGTGCCAACGACGCGGCCGACGGCGGCAGTGCAGCAGGTGGCGGCGGGCAGCGCCCCGCGGGCCGCCATGCTGGCCGCGCACGGCCTAGACGAGCAGGACCTCGCCGAGCGGGTGCTGTCCGCCAACGCCGCCGTGGAGGACCGCCGCGTCCGCCCGCGGCGCGGCCGCGGCCCGTGCCCTGGCGGCGAGAGCTCGGGCGAGTAGGCTGCTCGCCTGGAGTCGCATTCATGGCCCCGCGAATCGAATCGAATCGACGACGACGACGACGACGCCGACGACGACGACGACGTCGCCAACGAAGACGACGATGACGACGTCGCCGACGACGACAACGACGAGGGAGGAGGGAAGACGACGACGACGACGTCGTCGCCGCCGCCGCCGACGACGACAACGACGATGGCAACGCCGACGACGACGACGACGACGCCACCGCCGACCACGATGACGGCGACGGCGACGGTGACGACGACGACGGCGACGACGACGCCGACGACGACGACGACGACGCCAACGACGACGACGACGTCGCCAACGAAGACGACGACGACGACGACGACGACGACGACGACGAGGGAGGAGGGAGGAGGACGACGGCGACAGCGACGACAACGACGAGGGAGGAGGGAGGACGGCGACGACGCGAACGACGAAGGAGGGAGTACGGCGACGCCGACGACGACAACGACGAGGGAGGAGGGAAGACGACGACGACGACGACGCCGACAACGACGACGACGAAAACGACGAGTTGCCGACGACGGACGACGACGAGGGAGGAGGAAGGACGACCACGGTGACAACGACGACGGAAACGACGACGATGCCAAAGAGGACGACGACGACGACGACAACGACGACGAAAGACAGAGGACGACAACGGCGACGACGACGACGACGACGACGACGACGACGGCGACGACGACGACGAGGGAGGAGGGACGGCGACGACGACGACGACGACGACGCAAGAGCGCGTGCGCACGTTTTCGTTGAAAAGCCGTGTTGCGAAACCCTGTTGTTTGTCTTTTTTGGACACTCGACTTTGAACTCCTTCCGAAACCGAAGGTTTTGGAAGGACTCCAACATGCGCGCGCGACGACGCGCGCGCGTTCACTTCGTCCCGTTTTTTGGCAGGGGATTCTCGCGACGGCACGCGCGCAAGGGCGTTCGAACGATTTCGACATGAACTCGATTTTGAAATCATTCCGAAACCAAAATTTTTTGAAGGATTTCGGCATGCACGCGCGACGACGCGCGCGTGTGCACTTCGTCCCGTTTTTTACAACGGGCTACTGAAAACTTATGATGTGTGATCAACGGGTGTGCGCGCATACTATTTCCCAACCCTCCCTTGGTTGGGTACTCGTTTTGGCTACAGCACTCTGGTCGCCCCGTCCTCCCGCCCACTTCCCTCCGGCCTCCTGCCCCCTCCTCGCGGCGCCCTCTGGGGGGCTGCGATATGCGCATTTGTCGCCTCCTGCGATCTTGCGCAACTGTCGGCACGTTCGTGGGCTCCTGGGAAGCCCAGCGGAATGGGGTTACACGCGGATCGCGTCGGGACCTCGCGGCTCCCTGCAGGGGAGCTGCCAACTTGCGCAACTGTTCCAGCGGAGTGGGGGTTACACGCGGATCGCGTCGGGACCTCGCGGCTCCCTGCAGGGGAGCTGCCAACTTGCGCAACTGTTCCAGCGGAGTGGGGGTTACACGCGGATCGCGTCGGGACCTCGCGGCTCCCTGCGGGGGGAGCTGCCAACTGCGCAACTGTCGGCACTTTCGTGGGCTCCTGGGAGGCCCAGCGGAGTAGGGTTACACGCGGATCGCGTCGGGACCTCGCGGCTCCTTGCGGGGGGAGCTGCCAACTTGCGCAACTATCGGCACTTTCGTGGGCTCCTGGGAGGCCCAGCGGAGTAGGGTTACACGCGGATCGCGTCGGGACCTCGCGGCTCCCTGCGGGGGGAGCTGCCAACTGCGCAACTGTCGGCACTTTCGTGGGCTCCTGGGAGGCCCAGCGGAGTGGGGTTACACGCGGATCGCGTCGGGACCTCGCGGCTCCCTGCGGGGGGAGCTGCCAACTGCGCAACTGTCGGCACTTTCGTGGGCTCCTGGGAGGCCCAGCGGAGTGGGGTTACACGCGGATCGCGTCGGGACCTCGCGGCTCCCTGCGGGGGGAGCTGCCAACTGCGCAACTGTCGGCACTTTCGTGGGCTCCTGGGAGGCCCAGCGGAGTGGGGTTACACGCGGATCGCGTCGGGACCTCGCGGCTCCCTGCGGGGGGAGCTGCCAACTGCGCAACTGTCGGCACTTTCGTGGGCTCCTGGGAGGCCCAGCGGAGTGGGGGTTACACGCGGATCGCGTCGGGACCTCGCGGCTCTCTGCGGGGGGCGCAGCGGAGTGGGGTTACACGCGGATCGCGTCGGGACCTCGCGGCTCCCTGCCGGGGGAGCTGTCAACTGCGCAAATGTCGGCACTTTCGTGGGCTCCTGAGACGCCGAACGATCGCTCCAGGACGTTCAAGGTGGGCCCGAGACGGCCCAAGAGGCTTCCAAGACGCTCCAAGAGGCCTCCAAAAGGCTTCATGGGAAGGCCCCGATAAGCCAAAACCACATATTTTACTATGGTTTTTGAAGGATGTGGGCCTTCTCGTCTTTGCGGCTTTCCGGAGCTACAGGACGGCTCAAGAGGCACCCAATACTGCCCCAAGACGGCCCAAGAGGCGTCCCAGAGGGCCCGAAGACTGCCCACGAGGCCCCAAGACGGCCCAAGACAGCCACTTTAGCGAAGAGTTCCGACTATTGGGATTTGTCGGTCAGGTTTCCAACGACGATGTCCAGAGGAGTTGCTGTGAGCAGGGCGATTTGGGTGCGACCGAAACAGCAGAATACGACTTTCCTGCTACCGCTACAAGCCCGAGCTAAAGCTTTCGGGTCCTAAGCTTCGGCTACAGGCCCAAGCCACAGCTACAGACCCATGAGAATGGGGTGCAACCGAAACAGCAGAATACGATCCTCCTGCTACAGCTACAGGCCCGAGCTAAAGCTTCCGAGCCCCAAGCTTCGGCTACAGGCCCAAGCCACAGCTACAAGCCCATGAGAATGGGGTGCGACCGAAACAGCAGAATACAAATGTCCTGCTACAGCTACAGGCCCGAGCTAAAGCTTTCGGGCCCCAAGCTTCGGCTACAGGCCCATGCCACAGCTACAAGCCCATGAAAATGGGGCGCGGCCGAAACAGCAGAATACTATTCTCCTGCTACAGCCACAGGCCCGGGCTAAAACTTCCGGGCCCCAAGCATCGACTACAGGCCCAAGCCACAGCTACAGGCCCATGAGAATGGGGTGCGACCGAAACAGCAGAATACTATTCTCCTGCTACAGCTACAGGCCCGAGCTAAAGCTTTCGGGCCCCAAGCTCCGGCTACAGGCCCAAGCCACAGCTACAAGCCCATGAGAATGGGGTGCGACCGAAATAGCAGAATACTACTCTCCTGCTACAGCTACAGGCCCGAGCTAAAGCTTTCGGGCCCCAAGCTTCGGCTACAGGCCCAAGCCACAGCTGCAGGCCCATGAGAATGGGGTGCGACCGAAACAGCAGAATACTACTCTCCTGCTACAGCTACAGGCCCGAGCTAAAGCTTTCGGGCCCCAAGCTTCGGCCACAGGCCCAAGCCACAGCTACAGGCCCATGAGAATGGGGGGCGACCGAAACAGCAGAATACTACTCTCCTGCTACAGCTACAGGCCCGAGCTAAAGCTTTCGGGCCCCAAGCTTCGGCCACAGGCCCAAGCCACAGCTACAGGCCCATGAGAATGGGGGCGACCGAAACAGCAGAATACTACTCTCCTGCTACAGCTACAGGCCCGAGCTAAAGCTTTCGGGCCCCAAGCTTCGGCTACAGGCCCAAGCCGCAGCTACAGGCCCATGAGAATGGGGTGGCGACCGAAACAGCAGAATACTATTCTCCTGCTACAGCTACAGGCCCGAGCTAAAGCTTTCGGGTCCCAAGCTTCGGCTACAGGCCCAAGCCACAGCTACAGGCCCATGAGAATGGGGTGCGACCGAAACAGCAGAATACCTCTCCTGCTACAGCTACAGGCCCGAGCTAAAGCTTTCGGGTCCCAAGCTTCGGCTACAGGCCCAAGCCGCAGCTACAGGCCCATGAGAATGGGGTGCGACCGAAACAGCAGAATATTATTCTCCTGCTACAGCTACAGGCCCGAGCTAAAGCTTTCGGGTCCCAAGCTTCGGCTACAGGCCCAAGCCACAGCTACAGGCCCATGAGAATGGGGTGCGACCGAAACAGCAGAATACTATTCTCCTGCTACAGCTACAGGCCCGAGCTAAAGCTTTCGGGTCCCAAGCTTCGGCTACAGGCCCAAGCCACAGCTACAGGCCCATGAGAATGGGGTGCGACCGAAACAGCAGAATACTATTCTCCTGCTACAGCTACAGGCCCGAGCTAAAGCTTTCGGGCCCCAAGCTTCGGCTACAGGCCCAAGCCACAGCTACAGGCCCATGAGAATGGGGTGCGACCGAAACAGCAGAATACTATTCTCCTGCTACAGCTACAGGCCCGAGCTAAAGCTTTCGGGCCCCAAGCTTCGGCCACAGGCCCAAGCCACAGCTACAGGCCCATGAGAATGGGGGGCGACCGAAACAGCAGAATACTATTCTCCTGCTACAGCTACAGGCCCGAGCTAAAGCTTTCGGGCCCCAAGCTTCGGCCACAGGCCCAAGCCAGGCTACAGCAGGCCCATGAGAAGCTTGGCATGAGAATGGGGGGCGACCGAAACAGCAGAATACTACTCTCCTGCTACAGCTACAGGCCCGAGCTAAAGCTTTCGGGCCCCAAGCTTCGGCCACAGG